ATTTTAAGTGCAACTGTAATCTTAGTGTAGCATCAGTGTTCTCCCTGCCTCCAGGAGCAAGACCTGTTGAGACCCGGGACAAGACCTGCTGCCTACCGTGCAGCCGAGGCACGGTGACAATATCATCTTGAGATGTGTGGCATTGTGAATTCCACGCGGGTAATCGCCCATCAAGCAACAAGAGCACAATTCCGATCGCCAGCTGCGCACAGGGTGTACTGCACGAAACTGCACTCGTGAGTCATGTAGGTCCACTTGGAGACACAACACATCTATCGCATTGTCCGCCTCGCGTCTTTAACCGGATCGCATAGCTCGCATACCAGACATGTCCTGTGCACGTTACAACGTTCATACCGCTCAGTTTATCTGCAACATATCAGAATTAAAGCCCAGAAGGCAGAGAGCATATAACCTGAAATAGATTCAGGGTTTAGTGGTTTCAGTACTCCCAGAATCATGAGACAGTAAAATAATGTGACGTGTCTGCTCTAAGCAGGAGTTTTGGAGCCAGAAGAGACGGCCCTTACTAGGCAATGCCTCTGTAAACACGTTTCCACGAAAATAAAATCACGTAATCGCAGCTACGGATACACAAACGAAAGTAGAGGAAATGTTGGAAGCGGTGTTTTCTGTGCGGTCCTTGCTGAGGTTATATAAGGAGAAGTAATTGGAGCTTTCAGTTAGCGCTCTATCCGTTTGGGAGCGGTTTCGAATACATCTACCACAGCCCTGTGAGTCGTAGAAGCCGACGAAAAGGGACCCAGTGCCTGGGGTATAACTGGGCCACCCTGTTAAAAAGGGATATAAATACGGGGACATGGCCCTTCAAGTTGGGAAAGTCTGGAATCTGAGAGAGTAAAATGTGGTCACGAGTCCCGCGGGGCTCCGACCCGAGAATGACTGTGCTGGCGAGGACCAACAGCAATTGTAAACGACAGACCCGTCCTCTCGTCAGAGAGGGCGCCCCACATCAACAAACCTGCAACTGTCTGGCAGTAATAAAAATCCTGTCTTCTGCCTCAGATGGGTCCTTGATACCAAGCCAAGGCCGACTGAACTTAGGCCCTAACATGACTTTGACTTTGAACTGACTTTCCGTTAGTTCTGAGTCGGAAGTGAGTACTAGCCTGTGATAACGTGTAGTAGCCAGTGGTGGTCAAACATGGCTAGTCAGTCAATGGCCAGCCTCCTATTATTTGATACTTCTTAGGTCAAAATAATCCCCTCAACACCCTGTTCTCAAACACCCTCAGCCTGTGTTCCTCCCTTGATGCAGAAACCAAGATTCACGCCCATACAAAACTATAGACAAAATTATAGTTTTATATGTTATAATTTTTACCTTCTTTACGCAACAGACAAGAAGACAAAAGGTTCTGTACTGAATGTAGCAAGCATTACCCGAATTGAGTCTGGTCTTGATTTCGTCACGAATTAAATTTGGATTTGTTGGTGTTGTTCTCAAATATCCGAACTGTGCCACACATTCAAAGGATCTGTTTGCTAGCCTTACGTCATGATTCTGCCATTCATTATCTATATTATTATCAACTTCAGCAAGCCGAACTGTTAGTGACAAAATGGTGGCTGCGATTATGTGCATGAGAAATAAATATAGCAATTTGAATACAGACAAAAGAATATGTAATTCGTATTCATGAGTGATTTGGTAAAACCAAAATTACGTATGAGCACGCAGGCGCACGCTAGAATAAAATTTTAGTGCACGTATGCTCGAAGGTCCACACAGATATAAGGTAAAGGTAGAGCTATCCCTATAACAGGACCGTGGAGGCCCATAGATTTGTGAGACGTCGAGGCTCCCATATTTTCTAGACAATCGGCTCACAGATAGCCGTGAAGCTGTCATCCTTAGGCGCCAGCCGCCCTTTACCTCCAGGAAGTTTCCTGGTAGTCATTTCTGTTAGAGAATGAGTCGACCCAAGGACTATTGTGTGGCTGGAAGGATTAAGTTAAAGGAAAATTCCAATGATCTCAACGAGAATTGAACCCGCGACCTTCCGGCTTGTAGCACGGTACCTCAACCAACTACGCTACTATGTACCACCAAAGATACAAAGTGGAAGTAAAAATCAGCTTCACATTCCGGTCGTTTTATCCCCAATACCCATTGGATAAGTGACTAGGCTGTTCCCGAGTCGGTGTAAAAGTAACGGAGAAGAGAGGATTCTCTATCCTTTCACGGAATCAAACCAAGATCGCCAAGTCCATTTTACTTAGTGGTGTATCCTAGTTGGTTGCCATGGGAACCGGCGGGAAGGGCATCCAGACGTGTGACTCGCTTGGATTTTTATTGGAAAAATAAAAAATGAAATAAATAAAAAGTGTCAAATATTATAATCGCCGTTTAAAAATAATTCTTCTATCTTGAATACAATATGGCAATTAGTGGGCTGAAAATAACCTCATAAGCGACTTAAACGTAACTTTGTAAGAGAAGTTTTCTGGCTCGCTGACGCCTTGAGGAACCCACCGCCACCCCCGCAGATAAATTCCTGAAGGCTCCCTTTATGATCTGAAGTTTTCACACCGGTTGTTATGGCGAGCACTGTGTTCTGGGACATAGAGCCTTGCAGTCTGTTGAAAGTCAACTGACGCCTTCATCTTCAGGGTCGAAGAAAAAGCCAAGTAAGAAACCAGCATGAAACAGGTACTAACCTGTTTGAGAGTTCTTTTATTGGGGGCTTCGTGCAATCGTCGCGTTGGCCGTCCTTCTGCATCTTCGTAATTTATAGGGCGCCGTTGCGTGGTTTGGGAACCACGTCGAGGTGCTAGGGGTAGAAATGGGATAATGTTCTGGGTTGAGCAATGAGATTCTTTCCTCAGGGCTTAACGTGCCTTGCTCCGACGAATGAGGATTTCTTGGTGAAGAAATCTCTGGATCACAACTCCATGTTAATAACACACTCATTATTAACAGCACTACACAGTTACAAGCAGCGGCCACTTGCGAATTCAGTTGCAGTTTCTACACAGCACTACGTTACAGTACGGCAGAAGATGTACGTCAGTCTCCCAGCCTCATGTCTCACCGAATCTACACGTTCACGCACTGAGTTACGGAGAGCTGCTTCTCTGTCTGTCATCCGGGGATCAACCACTTTAAATACTGTGAGATGACGTAACATCCAGTACTTTCTGTTTCCAGATCATTCTGGAAGCTTCTCGAAGTTACTTCTACGGTTTCTTAGTCCGAGAACGTTCTGGAAGTTCCTTTCAGCAGACTGGCAGTGGGATAAGTAATCATTCGCATACCATTTCTCGCAGCCCTTATCTGTACAGTCCTCAGTGCGAATTCTTAGAACAGTTAATGGAAGACTGGGCATAAGTTACGTCTAGTATAAAATTGGTACTAAGTAACAAATATAAACTTCAGAAATTTAGGCCGGTAGGTAATGACCGGTTACACCTGCCTCATGTTAGTTTCTTCATTAACTTATTCTTCGACCTTGAAGATGGAGGCGACGTGTCCTCTGAAACGTCAGTTGACTTCCAGCGGACTACAGGAATATACTACAGAGTATAATACAGAGTATACAATTCTTCATGCTTATTTTGTGCTTGTAACAACTAAAATGGACGCCGTTACGAACAACAAAATGGACGCTAGATGCATCTCACTCTAAACTGGTAATATTCACGGAACACGTATACAATCGAGACATGCTCAGAGAATATGTGGCACCTTTAGAAGAACCTTAAATTCTAAATCATGGTAGGAAACACAGCTGCAATTTTATAAAACGAGATCACTGCCAAATTTTGAAACTTGGGATACCTGAAGTAAAATATATCAACAGAGGAGATGTGTAAGGACAATTACAAGCCGGACAAGACAAGACCATGTAAGGCATGAAGTTACCAGGAAAGGTCTGATAATGAAGTCAGTACAAAATAAAAATGAACTTAGACAAAACTTGATACAATTGTTGGTGAAACAACAACGATACAGGTTATACAGTGTAAACCAAAAGAACGACGTCACCGAAGCAGACCGTGGAATTTGTTTGTGAGGTCGGAACAGGCTTGATTGCCTGTAACATGAAGTGGAGAAAATTAATATGGAGAATCACTGCTTCCTGGATTTAACTCGACAATAGTAAAGAATAAAATTCAGGCCTGCAAACTGCAATTCGATTTCGACCCGTAGAGCTGGAGCAGAAGCAACTTCACTGAACAAGTCCACATTTTTGCACAAATGACGTTAGCTAAATCGCATAAATCCTACGGATTCCAGAATTATGAGGAAATATTCATGAATGGCATGAAAGTAAGAATTCTGAACGCTGCCCTGGCCTATTTGATGGCAACGGCATGCTACTTGACTGCAGAAACTGGAGAAAGACAAGAGAAATCTTAGCAGTGCTGCTACTATGATAGTCGGATTCGTAATTTTCCGCATATAAATCCAGACAGGTACATGCTACCTCGATTTTCCACCCGCTCCCATCTTAGGGCTGCTCGTCTCAAGCTGTTGTTAGGAGGGAGACACAGACACACAGGCAGCAAGGTGATTTCATAAGCCTCCTTCTATTTTTGATATAAGGTTAGTAGTTTCGGGGCATGCGGTAGCGTAGTTGGTTGAGGCACTATGCTACAAGCCGGAAGGTAGAGGGTTCCATTCCGATGAGTTCACTGGAATTTTTAATTGACCTAATCCTTCTAGCCTCACAATGGCCCAGGAGTGGACTCAGCCTCTAACAGAAATGAGTACAAGGAAGACTGACAACCTCACCGCCATCTGTAAGCCGATTGTCTAGAGAAAATGTGGGAGCCTCGACGTCTCACAACCTTATGGGCCTCCACGGCCTGTTACAGGGATAGCTTTGCTTTTTTTTTGTCTTTAAGGGAAGTAGACTAACAAGGCATTATACCAAATTAACTTAACCTTAACGACAGACTTCTATGTTTACCATAAAATGGTTTAAGATATTATTGCTTACTTTCAGTCACAGGTTGGTTAATAAATGACTTACCCCTCGGAGACCCATCTTCCGGTGAGTCTGGGCGGGTCTTCCGCTATCGTGTCTCGGTCGGCTCTAGCGACTTCCCCTTCAAGACGCTCACACCGCCCGTCGCCGGCGTCTCCAGGAATGGAATTGATGAGTGTGGGCTCCCCTCTGCCCAGCAGCCCACAAGCAAAGCCTGAAATCAGGACATGGCAGGTGAATAGTGGCTGAGAGACTAAAAAAATTCTGGCTTTCATTGACATCTGATGCGTTTCGGAGAGCGTTGCACTGGCTCAGCCGGTAAAGCAACTAGCCTACGAACATGACCAACGAGGTAATTGCGTAAATGGGACCGTCTACAGTGTACACCGTCCCCAAACTTTTCGAACCACGGGTTCATTAGGTAATTCAGCACTTTCAACGGGCCGGATAAAATGAGAAATTAATATGAGTTTTCTGAAAGCACAGAATTTCATAAACTAAATACAAAGTACGTGAGAATAAATTATCGTATATTAATGACAACAGACAGTAGCAGCAAATGCTCATATTTTCATCGCAAATTATAATAAAACAATTAATGTGAATGATGGAACTCTTTTGCATTCTTAAAATCTGATTAAATTGAGGTTCAAATTCTGAAACGCTAATCACGAGTAGCGACTTTAAATGTTCATCGGATAAATTTGCCCTGTATTTCGACTTGATGTACTTCATTTGGAAAAAAGTTTGTTCACACAGATATGTCGTCCCAAAAACTGGAGATAAATTTACAAGCAAATTTCTTTAAATTTGGAAATTGCTCAGAGTTAAGAAATTTATAAAATTCGATCAAATTTCCCTCCTTGTATTTGTCTTTAATATGATAATTTTCCTGAAGTTCAACAATTTCCATTTGGATTTGACTTGGGACATCTGCAGCATCACAGTCAAACGGATTTTGAAACAATCGAATTTCCTGAGCACTGGAATCCAAATCAGCAAATCGCTTCCGAAATTGTTCTTTCAAATCTGAAATAACTAAATTTGCAAACGAAGAAGGAAATTCTGCTTCACCCTTTTTATGCAACTCTGCACAGTATAGCATATGAACAAAGATACAATTTTTCACTTGGCTTTCCAGAAGTATCAACTTTGCTCTGAATGCCTAGATAAGTGCAAATAAATCACAGACTACGTTATTTTCACCCTGCAAACCGTATATTACCAGAGTTTTCTGGTGCATTGATAGGCTACATTTTACAAAGTTGTGTTTACTATTGAAAACGTCAAACTGTAAAATATGGATCCACTTTAAGGAAATTCAATTCAAGAACTTGGATGGATATTCTTGTGACTCTCCTGATGATGACTTAGGAAAGGTCGAAACATATAGCGCAACACCTGTGTAGAAAAAAGAATAATAAAACAAATGTTGATACGTCAGTATTTATTTTTGTCTTCATTTTGGAAATATTGTTGTGTAGACGGCCTCACTGAAATTGGAGTTAAGTTCCTTGGAGGGGCAAGAGCTTTTCTTCTCTGCAGCGTCCAGACCAGCTCTAGCACCCCCTCAGCCTTCTAACCAAAGGGAATTCGAGGTTCTTTCCACGGGGGTAAAGCGGTTGGGCCACGAATGGGGCCACTCAGATTAATTTATTACGAAATTTAAGAGCTTACTTCAGCACGGGGACGTCTTTAGATTTATTTTACACATACATGGAACAAGGGCAGTTGTCCTGCCCAACAGTTTAGTCTCCTCATATAAACAGGAATGTCAGTCGATAAGGAATCCCGTATCATTATTAAGGCACTTTATCGGTTTATGACTTTTTAATTTCCAAGTAGATAGTTAAATTCTGTCCTAAACGTTGGGGGGGGGGGCAGGTTGTCCTAAATTATATGAGGGCTATCAAGCTTGAAGACGCTGAGAAGCCGCGTTGTTCCTTACGTACCGTAGCGTCTAGACCCGTTACTAGGTGGCAGACCCGAAAGAAACAAATTCCCACGGCAGACTGTCCACGCGCAACAATAGAGGAACTGTTGGAAACGGTGTTTTCTACGTTGTCCGTGCCCAAATGTTTTTAGGAGGACGATTGTAGCAAGAGTCCAGAGTTGTGGGATATTCGCCGTACAGTAATGACGTGAGCACAGAAGCTGAAGAATATCCCGTTACTGTGAAACGACTAGTTAAAGCAGACTGAGAAGGCTTAGCGTGTGCTTTAGTGATTTGTAGAGTGTGTGGAGATTAGTGACAATGTTACAGGTACTTGTAGTCGCGATCTGTAAATGGGCAATAAATCCAGTCTCCAAACAAAACTCCATCCATAATCACTCATACACGTGACGGTCAGGAAAATTCACGAATGTTTTTACGACGCCTTCCACGGTGTTGCCCGAGCAAGGAGACATTTCAGACTTCAGTAGCAGGTGGTGAAATGCTGTAGCTTTGCACTGGGGCTTCGGACGTCTGCCTACAGTTCGCTGAGATAGACTGCCAAATATTTTCTGAAAATTTCAGATATACTGCCAATTTATTTCTCTTCTTTTGTCTGCAGATTAGTAAAATTCCCTCTAAAGGACTCAACAGCTTCCGAATTGAAACAAGAAGCTCGTACCAGACAGACAAATTGTACAGACTGTCTCAACTTTGTGGCGTCTAGATCCTTAGGTTCTGAGTCTCTGGCTCTTGAGACCCTTCGATTGTAGTTGAATTCTGTTATATTCGTCTAAAAGCAGTATTTACTTTAGCTTGTTATATACCCGTATCACGTGAACATGCGGTAGTGTAGTTGGTTGAGGCACTATGCTACAAGCCGGACGCTCGCGGGTTCGAGTCCAGATGAGGTGGATTTTTTTTTTTTTCAATTTACGTAGTCCTTCCAGCCGCACAATGGCCCTGGGGTCGACTCAGTCTCTAAAAATAATGAGTACCAGATATCTTCCTGAGAGTAAGGGGCGGCTGGCGAGCAAGGCTGACAACCTTACTGCCATCTATGAGCCGACTGTCTAGAAAATGTGGGAGCCTCAACGCCTCAGAACCCTATGGGCCTTCACGGCCTGTTACAGGGATAGCTTTACCTAAACTCGTGTCTAATATCTTCCAGTACTGTTAACGGTTACATTGTTCTGTGAATATATGGATCTGAAGGAGAGGAGAGGAGAGGAGTCAGTGTTTCCATGGCAATACGAATAAGGAGACAGATAAGGAGACCAAAAATACTAGGGGAAAGAGAACACATAGCAGTACTGATCTCTCGTATGCTTTAAAACATATCGTAAACAAACAGAGCCCCCATGAAGGAGGCAAAGCATTTGGCATTCTTTGGCCAAAACTAAGGGACTGCGCTGCTAAATATCCTTTCGTGCCTCCCTTCCCCGAAAAGGCTGGGCCGTTAAATGGGCCATCGCCAAGAATAGGCCAAGGTCAAGAGAAACCGGAAGTTCAGTAAAACTCCGAAGGTCAATAACAATGACTGGGATTGTAGGTGCCCTGTCGGACTGTAACTTCGTGCAGTTCGGAGACAACCCGACGTTTCGGAGGAACATATCGCCATTGTGTTTCTTGCTTGGTTTACTCTCCGACCCTGAAGATGGAGACAGTACCTTCCTCCGAAATCTCTGTGGACATCTACCAGACTACAGGGAATCACAATATTCTTGACAGTCATGGCTGTGAGAACCTCAAATCTATTTCTAGTCTACTTACCTTATTTTGAAAAAGTAAAAAGGGGGCTTACGAGATCACATTGCTGTGTCCCCCCCCCCCCAACGTCGCTAGGCGACGACTCGGTAAACAAGTTCTCGAGGTAAGGGATAAACATGTATTAATACAAGAACTTTGGACTATGTGTTTTCTAAGTGGTCCGTGTCGTATCAGATACTCAGTACGTCCTGAAACGAACGTTTCAGTGTTCTAAGACGCGACAGATGAATATATGGTTATGAGCACAGCGGGAATCGCAACAAAGGATGGCTGTGCTGGCGAGGACCAGCCAGCAGCAATTTACCCGACATAACGAAAGTAGGCGATTACTTCTTCTCCAGGCACAGGAGTCGATCGGATTCTAGAGTCATGAGACAGTAAAATGTGGTCATAACTCCAGTGGGATTCGGAACTAAGATTGACTGTGCTGGCGAGTATCAGCAGAAACTTATACCGACCGACAGATTAGTTCTTCCCGGTACTCATGGTTCTCTCGTAAATGCGCTGCCTTATTTTTAGGGAGATTTTTTTTTAACTCCAATAATTATACAATCTATCCATTAAGTGTGGATAATAAGTACATTTTGTGGTTTACATATAGAAAAGGAAAGAGAACTTGTCGTGGTGAGCATGTTCCAATGAACCTGCTCAATACTTATTTTAACTGCTTAGAGGGAGATTAAAGCGTTAAAGCATATTTTGGGGGAGGTAAGAACAAAATTGGCCGGTCTCGGTAGCTGAGCGGTCTAAGGCATGTACTGTCTTCGCTCGCTTGGAAACCGGGATCGTGGGTTCGAATCCCACTCAGGGCATGGATGTTTAGTTTGTGTGTGTGCGTTTTTCTGTGTTTGTGTACATGCAGAGGCCTTGCGACGAGCTGATCACCCGCCCAAGGAGTCCTACCGAATGTGTAAGATCTAGAAAAACCGAAGTGAACGGAGAACCTCATGGAGGTAGGCCTAGGCCCACTGGGGCTGTAGTGCCAAGAAAAAAAACCCCACAAAATCAAGTCTCAAGTCGGACAGCCGGGAATTTATGCTACAAATTTTCATGTTTACACATTATGTAAATCACAAAGCAAGTTATCCTTTCAGTCAACACCTTTTAAACCGTTCGTATAACACAATTAATTCTTGATGCCACTCCATAATACCAGACTATACGGTAATACAGTACTCTTCAACAAAAACTTTTCTCGTAAGTTTAGGACTGAGGGAAATCGTATTACGAACCACCCTGTTGTTTTCGCACGGTAATTAGGAAATGCATTGCTGCGAGAATTGATTACTTATTCACGAAATATTCTTCTGCTGCTTTTGGTGTCCCCCCCCATGACCCCATATCCACGTCTAACAAATGCTGGCCCCTTTATATGGCAGCTTGATTAGCATCGTTGCTTTTTAGAAAAATGTTTTGGGTGTCCTGGTGGCGGCCCCATCATTCATCCTTCCTGTGTGCCCTGTTAGAGGCCTCCAAGACGTGTGAATGCAAGAGTGATGTATCGCTTCTCT